AAAGATGAGGCTTTCTGCTCCCGTAAAGATTTACAGCCTCAGAAACCCTGTACAGGGTCGCTATGAGTTGGAACCGACTCCACGGCACATAACAACAACAGCAACTGTCTTACTCAGAGCATCCCCCCTCTAGGCTGGCTTGCAGTGGCTGATTCTGACTATGAGACGGTCCAGTCCAATACTCCTTTTGACTTTTCCTTTCCCCAGATTATTTTGATCCAACTCTGAGTCTGTGCTTGTCATTGGCTATCAGCCAGAAGGGAGGAGGGGGCTGGTCTTTGCTTGTTGGTGAAGTAAACCTGTAACACCTGTTGTTAAGTACCATCAAGTCTGTTCTAACTCATAGCGACCCTGTATAGGGTTTCCGAGGAACAGCTGGTGAATTTGAACCGCCGGCCTTGTTGTTCAAACTGACCTTGCTGTTTAGTTCATTATCCCACAGCGCCATACCAGGACTCTCTGTAACACCTGGTTAATCACAGCCAGGTTGAGCTGATTCATCCTTCCTATGCCTGGAGTTTCAGGAAGGGGTTGAGGCTGGCCAATAGTGTGGTCCCAGGGCATGAGCCTGGCCTGGATTCCAATCCTTGTTTCACCATACTTCCGGATCCTTCGTCTTTCTCTGGCACTCAGTTTTTCCATCAATACAATAGGAATAGTTGCTGACCCCTGGGGCCTGCCTCCTGGGGTTTTCATAGTGCCTACCTCTCCAGGTTCCTAATGCTATACTGCCCCCACGTGCCATGGAATAGCTACCTGCAGCTTGAAGGTTGGAGATAGTCTCGGCTCTTCCAGCTTCTGGGATCTTTTTGCTGGTGCCACAGCACCATCTGCTGGACAGCCTTGACCCTCTTACTGACAGGCTGGACTAGGGTAAGAGGTGGCTTGGCTTGTAAACAGATGCCTCCCTCCTGGAGACCTGAGTTCCAGGCCTGGCTCTGCTATTATTTTATTATTATTATTTTAATTATTGACAGGATCTCTGGTAGCATCATGGTTATGAGTCAGGCTGCAAACCTCAAGGTCAGCAGTTCAAAACTACCAGCCATTCCACAGGAGAAAGATAAGGCTTTCTGCTCCCGTAAAGATTTACAGCCTTGGAAACCCTCTACAGGGTCGATATGAGTCGGAAGCGACTCCATTTTGAGATCTCAGGTGGGTCTCCTCATCTGTAAAAGGGGGTGGGGTGGGTAGCGAGGCTAAGTGATCTTCAGATTGTGCTCTGAAAATTCTGAAACCCCAACAAAAGGGTCTCAGTCAAATGTGGAGGGTAAATGAACACAGGGGTTCTGAAATGAGGGTGGGCATTATGGGCTGCACAAGAAGTCATTAAACAAAGGGTCCTGCCATTAACAAAGAGTCATTGAAAACCTCTACATTCTATGATCCAGTCACTCTGCATGCATTCATACAGTATTGATGGTGCATCTCCTAAGTGCCCGATTCTTGGATGTGACAGGAAGCCAGCAAGCCCCCTCGCTCCCCCATGCTGTTTTCCTGACAGTACCTGCTTCTCTCCCCAGGTCAGTGGTGCAGTAACGGGCCGGAAGGCCCAGAAGCCTTCACAGTGATGGCGGAGAAGCGACCACTGGGGACCCTGGGCCCTGTAATGTATGGCAAACTACCCCGCCTCGAAGCTGACTCTGTACCTGGGCACAACCTGCCCCCTTCTGCTGGCAGCCAGGACCCCTGCAGCTACAAGAGTGCCTACTTCTCTTGCCCTATGGGGGGTGCTCCCAAGACAGGTTCTGAGAGACTGGCATCCTGGACCGCCTACTCACCCTTATACCCCAGCAGCATGGCAGGGCCCCCACTTCGGGCAGACAGTCTGTTGTCTAATTGCCTGCTCTACCGGCCACCAGCAGAGGGCTCCGAGAAGGTGCCGGATGCCAGCCCTGTTGAAGTGCTACCCTATAGTCCTCGGGCTCACTCTTACCCAGGTCCATCACTGGCAGCACCAAAGCCTGTCTACCGCAACCCTCTGTGTTATGGACTCTCAACTTGCCTGGGGGAAGGGACAGCCAAGAGGCCACTGGATGTTGACTGGACACTGGTCACTGGGTCCCTGCTACCCCCTGCTGACCCACCCTGTTCTTTGGCTCCAACTCCTGGCAAAGGCCAACCTCTAGATGCTACTTTCTTGCATGGGATACCAGCTGGGGGGTCTGGCAAGGATTCCTCCATGAGCTTCTCTCCATGCCAGGCATTCCTGGAGAAGTATCGGACCATCCACAGTTCAGGCTTCCTGCCCTCCAAATATGCAGGTCCTTACTCCGGGGACGCCAAGCAAGCAATGCCTGAGGGGCCCCCTAGTCCTTGGACCCAATTGCCTCAACCTCTGGGACCATCCTGCCAGGAGGCAGTGTCTACCCACTACCCACTGCCCCATGCACCACAGGCTCTGCCTTGCCCGCCAGCCTGCCGCCACCCACAGAAACAGGGCAGCTACAGCTCAGCGCTCCCACTGCAGCCTCTGGGAGCCCACAAGGGGGCTGGGTACCCACCTGGTGGCCTGGGCAGTCCCTACTTGAGGCAGCAGGCCGCCCAGACACCCTATGTACCCCCAGTGGGACTGGACACTTACTCCTACTCCTCTGTCCCACTCACAGCACCCTCACCGAGCTTCAAGCTGGAGCCACCTCTGGCTCCACGGTGCCCACTGGACTTTCCCCCTCAGATGCTCAGCTTTCCTCATGCCCGGGACGACCTCTCTCTCTACGGGGCTTCCCCGGGGCTGGGAGGGACACCGCCTTCCCAGGACAATGTGCGGGCTGTGCCGCCACCTGGTGCCTTTCAGCGGGCATGCCAGTCTGTACCTGTCAGCCAGCCACACTTGGAGCCTGTAAGGCCCCTAGACAAGCCAGTGCAGGCAGTGGAGAAGACATGGCTGCCTAGCTGCCAGAAAGAGCAGCTCCAGCCCCGGCTCAACGAACACCCCGGGGCACCCATCGTCATCCGAGATAGTCCAGTCCCCAGCACCCCACCAGCACTGCCCCCCTGTGCCCAGGAGTGTCAGTCCCTCCCACAGCACAAGCGTGAGAGTCCTCCCAGCTCTCCTCCCATGCCTGTTATTGACAACGTCTTCAGCCTGGCTCCTTACCGTGATTACCTGGATGTACAAGCACCTGAGGCCACGTCTGAACCTGAGCAAGCCCCAGCCACCGACCAGAGCCCCAGCAAAGTCTGCAAGGGGGTCCTGCCTGCTCAGGAGTCTCCCTTAGGCACGTGCTGCTCACTTAGGGAGGAAGTAGCTCTGGATTTGAGTGTGAAGAAGCCTGCAACAGAGACGTCCTCTATCAAGGTCCCTAGCCCTGTGGTACATGCCAAACCCACAGATGTGCTGAATGTTGGGGGCATAGTCACAAACATGCCAGGGGCAGGGAATATAGTCTCAGATGTACCCGGTATGGGGAACATGGTGCTGGATCTGCCGGGCCTGAAAAATCACGTCACAGAAGCCCCAGGGCTGCCTTTGGCACCCGTGCCCACAGAGGCCACACCAAGGACCAACTTCCAAAGCTCCGTTGCCTTCATGTTCCGAAAATTCAAGATCCTCCGGCCAGCACCCTTGCCAGCAGCTGTGATCCCATCTGTGCCCACCTCGGTTCCGACCCCGGCCCCTCCTGCACTCACCCCCACGTCTTTGCCCATTGAACTAAAGATTGTCACTCAGCCATTACCTGTGACCTGCTTAAACCTGGCACTGCCAAGCCCTCCAGCCTTAGCCATGGCCTCACCAGCACCGGCTCCTGGTCCTGG